CTCTTCCTATCTTCCCGACCGAACGCGTCCCGTTCCATCCTTCAGAGCAACCTGCTACTCTTTTTTCCTGCCGTTCCATTTTATTGGACGGGTGGTAGAGGCTTCCGCAGGGATCTGCCCTCTTTCGTGAATTAATCCTGAAAACAGCGGTACTTTAGGAAACTCCTTGTGACGTAATATCAGGGAAGATATCGGAATACACTATCAATCGTAGAAGCTACGAATACGAGACATAAAGTACTCGAAAAACTAAGATGAAGAACGTTTTAAACTCTGACGTGGAGGTTCATCGTTTCGCGAGAGTCTTTTCCTTTGGTATTTCAAGCATCTTTCGTCTTAGCTCTTGAAACATTTCTACGAAGCATGTGAAATATTCTTTTCAGTACTTTCATTCTAAAACGCACGTTGATTATTTGAAAAGAATATTTATAATAATTTGTAAGAGTAGAAATAATTTTTATAAACAATGTATTTGACGGCTATGACACTGTTTGATACGAATTTTAATCCGTGATATCCATTGGGTTATTCTTGTAAAGATTATTTTCCTGAAAACGAATCCGTAATCGAAATTGCTCTATCCCTCCCCCAGTTTTCGAAAATTGCGAGTTTTTTTAAGAAGGCATGATTTTTAAAAACGTTAGGAGGTTCATTTTTACTTTAAAAGTTAGGTTAAAAAGTTATTTCTATAACATATATTAGTTATTTTTGAGGTTAAAAAGTTATTCATGTTTCTGAATAATTATAATTAGTCATTAAAATAAAAAAATAAGCCTTCGAGCATGCTTTCTATGAGCTATACTTGCGTTTTTACGAAAACTTCTTTATCTGTCAGGAATTTGGTACACAGTAACGTATTCTGTAGGATTTTCGCTTCCCTAGCCTCGACATTGCCGTAGCTACGCGTAATCCCAGTATCAACTATAATGGAGGTAACACATAACAGTCTACCAAAAAGAAAAATTCAATTTTGCTATAATATTTCGGAAAATTGACAGCACATTCTTTTGTCCAATTCAAAGAACTCTCTAAATTTTGAACATCACGAACATCAAGAAAATTCTTTTCTATAAAATCCCATACCGAACAATCGTTATATGGGTATTTAAAATTCATAACTTGATATCATGGGAACGTCGTAAC